GTGTATGAAATTTGTGTAATTTGGTAAATCACACCACTTTTCTGTCTGCTTTATAACTTTAATAATTTAACAATTATTTAATAATAATGCCTAGTTTTTAATATATTACAATAATTTTCATATATAGTCCTTACTGGGGTATAGAAGGAAGGTAATAATCATTTTATCAGCAGATATATATATTACAATACTTTTCATATATAGTCCTTACTGGGGTTTAGAAGGAAGGTAATAATCATTTTATCAGCAGAGACACTGAGGCACAGAGCAATGAAGCAACTTGCCCAAGGTCACTCAGTAGACCAGTGGCAGAAAAAGGACTAGAACAAAGTTCACAAAATCCCTATATAGTGTGTTATCCATTACATGATACTTCAGTCCTCATCACTTCCTCTTCTCAAAATATACACTAGAGCTATAAACTAACATTCAAATGAAATTGCACACCAAAATGACTTTGACGCTTTGTTCCATTACTATGCAGCATGAATTAATACTGTTAAGGAAGAATAAAGGAATATTTGCAAAGTTTAAAAAGTATTTTACAAGGCAGATAAAACAAATTAAAGTACCAAAAAATAGTAACACCTGAATAGTGAATTCACCTGGTACTAATGTGGTTCCTCATTAGGATTCTAAGGATGTCAGATCCTAAACAAATTTCAGTTTATCATGTATCAAGTGGACTCACATAACATAAATAACCCTGGAGAAAGGTCACCTAAGATTAGAACTTAAAATCTATTAGCATGAATGTCTTGGGTGAAACAAAAATCAAAAGTATGATTCTATTTGAGGATTTCCAATACAAAGGTATAGCGGGGCTCACAGCTGATACAGAAATGAATGTATGATTTTATTTGAGCATTTCCAGTACAAAGGTATAGTGGGGCTCACAGCTGATACAGAAATGAATGCTTTGGAGGGATAGCCAAATTAGTCTGTAACTGGAAAAACTTAAAAAAACCAAAAATGGTCTAGTAACACCTTAAAGACGAACAAAACATGTAGATGGTATCATGCACTTTCGTGGGTACAACCCACTTCTTCAGGTGAAACTTCTGAAGAAGTGGACTGAACCCACGAAAGCTCATGATACCATCTATGTGTTTTGTTAGTCTTTAAGGTGCTGCTAGACCATTTTTTGTTTAAGTTTTTACAGAAATGAATGATGTGGACAGCAATTTATTTGCCCTACCAAAATCTCTTGCTTTGACTTCAGCTTCTTTTAACTGGCCACAAAAATTCAAGTGTCTGAGTACCATGCTTTAAATGTGGAGTTGGCAATAAAACTATGCAATCGTTATTTTCCATAGATAACAAGGAAGTTTTTTTATTTTTTGCACATTTCAAGAAATGTGAAAGAAAATACTCTTGCAGATGCTTTTCTGATTTTTTTCCGCTTATGACAGTGTTTTTTGCTACCTAACATTACTTCTAACATAAATATAATTGGCATGAACTTTGGTACCATCTCTATCTCCTTTGTGTCATAGTCAGAGGGAAGTCCTCATTTGACATTAACCGGATGGTGTAAAGCTGGAGAAGATGACTTCGCAGAGAAACCTAGGAGCATGCCAAAGTCACGGATAAGGGTATGATGAGTGTGCAACACTCCAGACATTCTAAGTCAGCATAGCAACAGATAAGAAACTATTAACCTGCATCTCAAGGACATAGAAGAAGGTGGGGAGGGGGAAGAAAAATATCAAAAAAATCAACTACCAAGAATAGCTCAAATTCACCTGATGGAGCAACAATTGGCATTATTGATAATTGCCTCTCCTCAGATATAAAGAAGGGGAGTTCCTTGTCCTCCTTAGTCACATTTCTTAGAGAAATACATGTGGGGGAGATAAATAAAGGGCGTAGTAAGTTGAGGGTCAGTAACATGGAGTCAGCAGGCCTGAATAGAGGCCTGTAACATGAAAACAGCAATAAGCCTGCAATCTAGCGAGCAAGACTTTGGTTCAGCAACACAGTAGTCAAGAAAGAGGCCCTATTGATAATTGTGCGATTGTGCAAGTTAGGTGGAGCATGGCAAGACATAGAGAGGCACCTAGCACAGACTGTAAGCCAAAGGGGAGTAGCGGACCATCTTAGTAAGGAATGTCTTGGTACAAGGACTTCCTAGGAGCTATGCACATACTGATCTGGGTTCAGGACCAGGTTGAAACCGACAGGATGACGAATAGAAGGTGAGCCTCCCTTACACAAGGTGAGGGGTGGTAACCAGGAAACAGAGGGTAGCAACCTGGTACGTAAAGAAGTGATGTCAGTTGTTTGTACCCATCTGTAGTAGGACACCACAAAGGGTGCTCTCTGGCCGACCATGGAGGGGGCGCACTAGGTGCCTGAACAGCAGGTGTCATTGCCGAACCTTACAGAATGCACAGTTACTTAACTCTAACTAACTGCTGTTAATATTTGTTATATGGCAATAAGCCTGCCTGATGTTGGTACCTTGTCAAAGCGGACCAAAGGCACAGTGGTGTAGCATTGTGGGATCTCTGCTATCAACTGTTAGAGCTTCGCATTTGACAATAAACCTGCTCGATTGATTTCAAACCTTGACTGCATCGGTCATTTCCAGCAGCTCTCAGAGATCTCCTGTGTCAACCCAAGTGCACGGGGTCTAACACTCTAGATAAAGGGAGCTCTGATAGTTACGGATGCAGCCAAAAGTTTATGACCACCGACGGAGTAGAGGTTCTGTCAGGAGTGCTCCAGGACAACCCCAAGAACTCTGACCAGACAACACCGAAACGCTGACAGTACAGACCACTGAAGTATGACAAAGGGAACCTGTTTTATTCTCTGTGGTACATTCTGAACTAATGCAGATGACCTCTTTTCCAAGTATGTGTTGGAGCTAGGTTTGGCATAGCCAGAGCACCTTGTGTTCCATTGATTCTGGACTGCAAAACAACCATCTCTGTCACAGTATCGGCAGACCCTTTAAGAGATTAGAGTTGAGTCCTTGTCTGGTCAAGATGATGGGTTTGGGCTTAATCTTGAGGCAGGTGACTAAGCATCAAGTGATAGGAATCCCTCCCCCTGTAGGATTCTGTGCCATCAGAGAGAGGAAGTCTTGGGTGTCTGGAAAAGGAAGGGTTCTCCAGAGAGTTCCAGTGTCTGTTCAGAAAGTTCTAGGGAACAGAGAGATCTGTAGAAAATAAATTGTCTAAAAAGGAACAAGAGGCAGAGTGGAGTGGGCAGCAGGATCCCCACACTAGTCAAATTAAAAGGCCTAGCTGGGGTGACCTGAGATAAGGGTAGAAATCTTATGAGAAAAGAGGCATAAGACAAATCAAGCTGCAGAACCAAGGACTTGGAAAGGACTGTGGAGGTCAGCTAGGGGCTAAGGAAATTGTGGCACGGGAGTGAAGAGAATGAGGAAGTTATGTGTTCTTTTGATAAATTTATATGCCCCCTCTGGTTATCTGTGTGATATTATTCTGCCTGAACACAGAGGGCTCATCTAGACTATGCTAGAGTGTCGAAAGAGGATATGCAAATTCCCGTGGAATTGCACTTTCAAAAGCAGACCTGCCTCTTTGTGCAAAAATGAGGTTTATGAGGCTTTTCAACAAGGGGAGAGAGGGATTCGCCAAAAAAGCCGCTTTATATACAAGTAGTTTAGATGTGGTTTTTTTGGGAGACCTTCCCCTTGGTCGATGGGAATTTGCATATCCTCTTTCGACAGTCTAACGTAGTCTAGATGATCCCAGAGAGTTAACTCAAAGAATTCTTATGGAGAAACTGGCAAGAAACAGAAGTACCACAAAGGCATGGGGCTATTAGCAGCTATACCAACAGTCCTTGAAGAAACAGTGAGGAAATCATTAATTGGAACTAGACCAGGTGTATTAAGGGGACTTCACAGTCTAAAAACCTCAGAATTGAAAAAGGTCAGTCTGAAGCAGGGGCAGCGGGAGGTATCTGACCAGGGAAAACCAGTGAAAATTGACAGGCTGGCAGAAGACAGAGGGTGCATGCATTGAACGTACATTTCTGCTTCTCCTGCCCAAAGTGATTAGCTGGACAGAGAGGAATTTACAGAAGCATTCAAGGAAAGATTAAGGAGAAATATATGAATAAAGAGTTTTAATTTTACCCTTTAATCTGGGTCAAAAAATAAATACTTTGTTCTGAAGCCATTGTAACTAGTTACCACAGAAAACAGTTTACCGGAGCCAAATTCAGCTGGAAGAGAGACCCAGAGATCCAATCTGAGGGCAGTTGCAGGGAAAGACACAGGAAGACAGGCTGTCATTCCTGAAGCTCACTCCTCAGGAACAAAGAGGTCCTTAGACATGATGCAGGAGAAAAGCTTGTTTGGGTTTATGATGACATTTTAACTGTTTTAATTAAACAAGACCCTCAAAGAGGGATATTTTACCTTGCCCAAGAGTCTTGGGCAATATGTAAAAACACCAAGGACATGTTTACACTAGGAAATGATTTCAAAAGGACTAAAATTGACTTAACTCCTGATTTAACAAAATTGAAACAGCATGTCCCCACTATGGGAAAACATTGAAATTAGTTAGAATTCATCTGACTTGGAGACTTGGAGCCCCTGGAAGCATTCTGGGGAGGGCACCAAGGGGGCGAATACTTCCTGTGGTGGATAGTTCCTGGTCAGGCGAGCTGTGACTTGTGCCTTCAGGGGCTCCTCTCTATGACTGTGTCTCACAAGCCAATCCTTCACTGCTGACCCACCTTGCAGCATACAAAAGAGACACAGTGGGCAAGTGCTTTATTGTGCTCTGGCTGTTCTTGAGGATGTCACAGCACTCATAGCAAGAAGCCAGAGCTACTGCAAAGTAGTGCCAGGCTAATTGTCCTTGTGCTATGCCTCATGGCACTGTACTTCCAGACTGCTCACAGGCAACTGCAATCCCTGCTCGACCAGTTCCTGCAGTCTTCCTGCTATGCATACCTGTGACGGGGTGAGACCCGCCTACCCCACTGAAACGGGCCCACCCCGTACTGACCTCGCGATTGCCCTCTCGCTTGTGGGGGCAACACAGCGGGAGCTGATCACTTGTGGGCTGTGTAGCGCCGCCGCGCATCAGCTGAACGGCGAGCCAGAGGCCGTTGCTGAGCAACGCGGAGTGCACGGCCGCAGGGTAATGGCGGCCGGAAGTGACGGCAGGGGCAGAAGTGATGTCAGACGCCCAAGGGGAAGGGCAAAGGGAGGGGGATAAAAGCCCCGAGGGAAGTGACAAAAGGGGGGAGAGAGAGACAGAAGAAGGAAGTGGAGAGGACAGTTATAAGAGAGGCGCGAAGGAGGCAGGGTGGAAACAGCCCAGGGCAGGGCACGGAGCCGGCGCACCGGTGGGTTAAGGGGACATACCCCCTCCGGTGGGACAGGTCCAGGAGACTCTGTCTTTAGGGCCCTGGACTGGGGTCTGGGAGTGAGGGTGGGCCCAGACCCCCCACCCCGCACACCCAGCGAAACAAACTTTAAAGGCAGCTGCCATTCAGCAGCTGCCATTCAGCAGCTAGCGAGCAAAAAAAAAAAAAAAAAAGAAAAGACAAGGAAAAGAGAAGGGGGGCGGGACCAGACCCCCACAATACCCCTTAATCCCCGAACACCGCGGAATGCTGCTTCTGGTGGCGGGAGACGAGCTTCGACTGGTGGGGCCACCTTCATGAAGTTCTGTGAGTGGCTTTTTCCTGCCCTGGCTTCTTTCTGTCCCACGCATGCTGGGTCCATCACTGGCAGTGTCCCGCAGAGAGAGAATTACTATCCCTGCCCACTGGAGGAGGGGCGGTCGTTGGGGAAGTTTTCTGGGAGCAGCAGATGCTGCTTGCCAGAGATAGTGCTACTAGGTTCCTCTTCTCTTCCTTCCCCTCCCTACGGTAGGTTCCCATGCACAAGATCAGTCTCCTCTGCATCACCATGCTTGATTGGGAGCAGATGTTGCCTGAGTGCAGGCATGACCCTATGTCATGTGTGGAACTGCTGTTCCATGACCTCAGACTCCTTAGTGGTGGTTTGTCATGGGAAAGTGTCCCACCATAGAGCCTGGAGTAAGGCAGGCCTCTCCAGGAACCTTGTGAGAAGGATCAAGGAGTTCCTGTGTGAGAGCATCATGGAGCTGAGTGCTCTGGACTGGTGCTCCATGTGCACACACATGAACAGGTTGAGAGAAGAGAGTGTGCAGCCCCTCACAGCCCATTGCCTGCCCTGGCATGTAGATAAGGGTAGTTATAGAGCTCACCTGAAGTGCCTTACCCAGGTTCCTCCAAAGTTTTGGAGACTTCCTGAGGCAGGAGGGAACCAGCTCCAGAGTGAAGAGCAAGCCCTGGCTGGTGGTCATGGTTGCCTGGCTGGCCTCTTCTTCCTCGTCATCCTCCACTACCTGCAGATTGATGCCAGACATGTCCTGGCCGAACTCGATGACGACAGCGAGGAATGTGACTGGCTTCAATCCTAGGATGGCATTCAGCTTGTCATAGCACTGGAAGGTGTGTGATGCCACTCTGAAGCATCCTCTCTGCTCCCTGGACTCGTGGTACACCTGCCGCAGCTCTTTAATCTTCATCTGGCACTGGTCCAAGGCCTGGCGTACCCTTTGTCAGCCAGGCTGGCAGTGATCTGGCTGGTGATGTCCACATTCCTTTTCCAGGTATGGAGATCCTGGAGGCTGGTCTCCTCCCCCACAGACCTTGATGAGGTCAAGGATATTCGCACCATTCCAGGGGTCTCCTGCGTCCCTGGGCAGTGGCAGCTGTGGGAGCAGCAGGAGTGCTGGCAGCCATGGGAGCATCCAAAAGAGCACTGGGGTCAGTCATGCCTGCCTCGGATGGTGGTGTCTTGTACAGGGCTTTCAAAACTCACTGCATGTAATAAGACATTCTCTTGCTGCTGGGACTTTTAAGATCCACAGGAGGAGGGGAGCAGTGGAGATGCCAGATGTGGCCAGAACGATCAGAGCAGCAGCCATGAGAGGCCTCTGGAAGCCAATTATTTTGAAATAGCAGCACCAGTGCATCCACACTACCACTATTTTGAAATAACTATGTCAAAATTAATGTTATTCCTCAAGGAAAACAGGAGTATAGATTTTGAAATAAGTGGCCCGTTATTTCAAATTAACAGGCTTGGTAGGGTGGATGCGCCACTTATACATTCAACCTAAGAGGAGAGGTCATTTTGAAATAACCTAATGCAGACCAGAGCTAAGGGATGAAATTAAGGCAAAAGGATGGTCTGACCCTCGTTCAGGTACCTGTTTGTTACAGTCACCTATGGGAAAATTATGATTCAGCATAAGTGTGATGGGACCTAAATTAGATGCTCCAATTTAGAGGAAGCAGAACAATGCATAATACCATATCTGTCCCTCCCTTCTCAGGTTCTAGGCTGATTATAGCTCATCTGGAGCTAAGGATCTGGCCTAGAGAGTGGAAGTAACAGAACAATAATCAAGTTGCCCAGCAAAGGTCATCTCCTCCCTGCTCCACCAGGAGCTTAAATTTGAAATCAACAGAAGTGACTATGTAAATTACACTGAATGTGTGAAATAAAGCCAATGCAAGCTAACAGTTCTACCCTGTGTTGATAATCTTAAAAAGTAGGGCCAGTAGCTACATATAAATTGGCAAATGTTTGTGATGGTAGAATGTCTCAGTTCACGAGAAGCTCTGTATTATTTTTTTAAAAGCCTCTTTTATTGCAGTATATTGATGTTTTATTTTAATGCCCTTACCTTTGTAAAATAAAGATTTTTACATTAATACAACATAGTAAGTGCCATTAACCAGAAGATTCACATAGTAAGTTAATGTCATGATTAAAGACCCCAAAACATTAATAACTTCAATTTTCTAAACTGGAGTTCAGATTGCAGAGTAATCACTTTTTGGTGGTACTAGTTGCAATTACCAATTAGAGTGCAAACATGATCTTACAGTTCAGATTTTACTGCAGTTAACTGATAATCACTAGAGCCAAGTGAATAATTTATAGGACAAATTTAATCTCTTCTGTTTGTAATTTCTCTGAACAGGCTTTTTGCTATTTTCTAGAAATTATTTGCTTAATAAGTTCTGCAAATAATTCTTGGGTCTCAAGTAGTAATATCATGACAAGAAACATGGTCAGGGAAACAACCCGCTTCTTTCCCTGACAGACTATGTATGTTCTTACAGGAGACACTTGAACCATCAACTAGGGACATAGATCAGTGAACAAGACTACTAACGACTGAACGAGATCGCTAACAAGAGACACGGTTAGGGAAATGCTTTCTTCCCTAGTGGACCACATATTTTTTTCATAAAAGACCCACAAGGCTCTGACAGACCAAGGCACACTCCACTGAGGGACTAGCTCGAACCATATGCCTATGCTCTTAACTGCCACAGACTACAACTTTATACCCTTCATGGGAGGCATCTCCAAGGACACTTGTTTACTGATGCCCCAAAAATTTCATCTACCTTAATCCAGGAAAATGCTGGTTATGAATGTTAACCATCTCAATAACCACATAAACAGATACTTGTATTTCCTCATAACCCAAGCTTGACCCAGCATATACATTGCCTTCTTTTTGAACTTGTATCTTGTAAACTTTATTTGAAACATTCACTTCAATAAAATCTTTTCAATCAGATTGCTATATATTAATTTACGCTTTTTAAACTGTGGGTATGGATATGTTTTCATTCCCTGACTGGATGAGCATAACTTTGGAGGTTTCCAGTGCAAACACGCAAGAACATTATTTAGAATGTATCTTTGTTAATACTCTGCTATATACACTTAACATTATCTTCTTTCACAAATATGCTGGTCAGCTGATTTTCTAAATACAGGTGGTACCTCCAAAATCCAGCACTATCCCTGGTCTGGCAAGACCAGGGATGCTCCCAGATCACAGAGCCCAGGAGCCTAAGGGCAGGAGGGTAAGCCAGGCTAGGCATCTGGGTCAGCAGCCCAGCTGGGACAGCACAGGATGGGGCCGGAGCCGTGCAGCAGCTACTGGGAGTGCAGGCCTTAGGATGGAGTCACATGACAGTGTCAGATCAGAGTTCCCATGACATCCCCCAGGAGTGCAGGTCCACGGCTGGGGTTGTGTGGAGCTGGAGCCCCGCAGCTTCCCATGGCTTCCCTCAGCTGAGTGGGGCCGGGACTAAGGCTGTGTGGGACTGGGGTCGGGGGTCCAGCCCCGCAGCTGCCCCCGGCAGGAGCCAGAGCCTATGCAGCCCAGGGTGCCAGCATTAGCTGGGCAAGCAGCCGAGCCAGGTGTGTGTATGGCGGGGGATGGGCAAGGCAGGGCTGCCTGCTGGGGCAGCCTGCCATCAGTGGATGATGGGCTTGGGGGGGCCTCCCCTGGTCTCCCCAGAAAGGAGACCTCCCTGGTCTGGCAAATTCTCTTGGGATCTGACTGGTTTTGAACAACGATGCTGGACCAGGGAGTTCCAACCTGTAGTCATAGGAAGGGAACACAGAAATGGCACTGACTGAATTCAATCACAGCAAATGCACTTAAAGGATGTAATTCTTTTCTGATCTAATTTCCCCTATTCTATCAGTTCCCAAGACACAAAAGATCTGTTAGATCTATAATCAGATTCCCAAGACACAAAAGATCTGTTAGATCTATAATGCTTGCTACATGATGACTCTTCCAGTTTGTAAAGCTGATTCTAGCCATCCATTCTGCCCTCATTCATATGGAAGATTAATAAGAAGGAACCTATCTGCCAATTACGCTGTGGCCTGGTAAACACACATGTCTTTTTTTTTTTAAACAAAGATGGCAGTTGGCCTGAGATAGGATTCTGCTGCTTTTAGGGGTAGGCAAGTATATATCCCTTCACTCTAGTAAGAACACGCTATGATCTTAAGACTGAACATGGCACCCCCTCTCCCCCCGACATTTTTTCCAGCAGGCAATTAAGTATTATTTTCATGTCCCTTCATTATGCATTTTAGTGCATCTTTTATCCATGAACAATTTTTGACTCTAAGATAATCGGTGTGTTGCTTTATTTATTTAAACAGAATTGGAATATGAAAAGATATACTAAATCAAATCCAAAAAAGACACTATAGAATAAAGGCAGCATACCAGTGCTGAAGTTTAGATGGCAGTAAAGAAGGGCTCTTGATTAAATAA